GTTCTTGCAAATAATTACTCGACAGGCATGAAGAGGAAGCTTGATGAGATGCAAGAATCTCAAGGTCGAATGCAAAGTGACCGTCAAAGGCTTACGTCTTTCTTCCAGAGGCACCTTTTTCCTGCGTCATCTAGCGTTCCACCAAGTATTGGGGCCTCGAATGCTCTATCTTCGATGCCTCTCGCTCCGATGTCTCCTGCTCCGATGTCTTCCGCTCCGATGCCTTCCGCTCCAATGCCTTCTGCTTCTAGAGTTTTGCCACGTAGTGGGGCTTCACGTAAACAACCTTTGTGAAGGCTCCATCATTCTGCCATGTTTTTTTTTTTTTTTTTTTTTTTTCATGCTTTGTTTTATTCAGTGTATTGGGTTGCTTCCCAAGTAGCGCTTTCTTTTACGTCTTGCAGCCGGACGAAGAACTTCTTTTCTCACTTAGGACCCACGACATGGAATTGATCTTTGAATGGGGGGTGATACTTGAGATGATCCGGTAACGGTTTAAATTCTAGAGTGGGTGCCTGGATCATTAACAACATATTAGTATAAAACAAAATTGAAATTCGGGGAGGTGGCTTACCTGTGTGCTCCAAAATGAACTCAAGAATAAACACATCTTCTTTGAATATTTCAGGAACCTTACCCTTGGACAGACTATGTGTGAGGATTGTTCCTTGTCCTTTGTCATAAAATTCAACTTCTTTGGGGTTGTTTATCTCAAGAACGTCCTCTTTGATGAATTCTTGATATTCCATGCTTTGCACCTTTGGAAGGCCTTCCAAGATGTCTTTTTCACTTTCTTCTTCCTTGGAAGTCATGAATCTGCAAGAAATAGGGACATTAGGTGGAATGGGGTTACCACTAATTAAATTTGGAACAACCTTACTTGAATTAGATGGCGTAGGAGCAATAGGTGCCTCCGGCAAAGGTGTTTCCACCCTAGCCGTGGCTTGGGTCTCTTCCTCGTGATTTGATTTTGATGGTTGAGGGTTCGTTCCAACCTCCTTGCCACTTCTTAACATGATAGCTTTGGTGGTTTCAAATCCTTCCTTCGGATCTACAATGGTTGAACTAGGGATTTTGCCTTGGTCGCAAAATTGTCCTACAAACTCCGCTATCTGCCTAATTTGCTTTTCCAAGTGGTCCAACCTTTTGTCTTGATTTTGCATTGATTTTTCTTGAGTTTGGATTTCATTGCTTTGGGCAGGTTGTGGTGGCTGCATAGGCGTTGAATAGAACTCCTCATATGGCTGCCAATATTCTCCTTGTTGAGCCTCATTGGCTTGATTTTGTGAGCCCTGCACCAAAAAAATTAATTCATTAAGCTTTTGATTATAATCTATTGACGAACTTGAGTTTGGTTGGGCATATTGAATATGAGGTTGTGGTGGGTGCATAGGTTTTGAATAGAACTCCTCATATGGCTGCCAATATCCTTCTTCTTGAACATGTTGAGGTTCCCACCATATAGAGTTTGAATGATCACTCCAATCTGAATTGTAAGTATTGGAAAACACGTTATTCCTTGATTGAAGATCAAATATATCAACGCTTTGCATTTGGGACCTTTCCATGAGCTGTGACAATAGAGAAGCATTATCAAGTGCCATATTGTGCTTCTCTAGTACTTGAATTTAACAAACAAAACACAAATAAAAAAAACTAAAACTAAAATACATAACAGAAACGAACAATCCAAGGGATTAGCAAATTTGCTAATCCTCGGCAACGGCGCCAAAATTTGATGCGAAAATAGTTAAGCACACAAATTAAACCCTCTTTTTGTCAATTGTAGTAAGTATGTAAGTAGGGATCGTTCTTAACCGGGGATTAGGAGGGATTGCAAATCACTTGGAAACTGACTCAAAAACGTAAAATAAAGTTTAAAACATTAAACTAGACTCAAAGAATGCGAAACTAAACGCTTAAAACACTAAAACAAACCAAAAGACTCAAACATCACCCAAAACACTCAAAACTGCCTTAAAAACACTTTCTGGGCAGTTTTGAGCACCTTGGTGAATTTGGACGAATTTGTGCAACAAATTGAATCAAAACACTTATAAACACAAATTAAGACACTTTCTAACTAATTTGGACAATAAAGTAAAGGGGGATTGGTTTTGGATGAATTTGAAATTAAAACAGAAACTTGGAAACAAAACAGATTGTAAAACGAATTTGATGGAATAGAATGGATGGGATGGCTAGCTAAGGGGTTCATCTCCACACATGTTACACTTGCATATAAAACGAATCCAAATTGCTTTTCAATAAACCATGATGCTCAACACCCCAAGTTAACCGTGATGCACTAATTAACTCTCAAATTTTCCTTATGTTATTGAATTGGATGATGCATGCGACAATTCAAATCATTCTCCAATGGTTCTCAACATGAATGCATATAAGAGATACAATGAGAGATCATTATGCTCTATGAAAATTATAAGTGTTGACGAGGCAATTGTAACTATGAATGCATGATACTCTTGCCAAGAATTCATTTAACGCGATTGTTTATAAGCAACCTCCACTACTTGTGAATATAAGTTCATAACTATTAGGCGAAACTCACTTATATTCTAGCATCATATTCATGCATGAAAATTAAGCGTGCACTCTCAATAAACATACATAAATAAGTTATCAATCAAACAGTTAAACAAATTGAATTCACAACTTATGAAACGCAATTAGAAGTAATCAAATCATATTGCAAGCATAAACATATATTTCGAATCCCCCCCTAGCCAAGGGGGGGTTTAGTTCCTCATACGTACAAAACAAAGAGAATTGAAATTAAACATTGAAATCAAAGGAAAAGAAACACCTAAACATTCCAACAACTCAAACTTGAATTGTATGAACGTTTAGGCCCTCTTCTCTTCCTCTTTGTTGCTGCACAAGGTCTAAGGAATGGTTGTGTGATGGTGTGAAGTGTGTATGAATTTCTGGAATGGTGGAAATGGGCATGGCCAAAGGGAAGTTTTTGGTGAATTTCTGAATATGGAAGAGTGAATTGTGTATGAAAATGGGAATGGTTTGTATGAATGCATTGCATGGTTTTATAGGGAAAGAAAGGGGTGAATGTGCATGTGGCTGCAAGGTGTGAATGATTATGGGTGCATGTGGTTGAAATAATTAAGGGAATGCATGTGCAAAACAGCTAGGAAAAGTTCTTTTGTTGATGATTGTGTTGGTGATGAATATGGAGTGGCTGGAATGAAAGGGAAATCATGGCACAAAGGTGGAATGACAGCTAGGTTATGATGATGAATGCATAAAGGTGGAATGACAGCTAGGTTATGATGATGAATGCATGTGGATTAGGTTGGAATTGCATGTGGAATGGCTTAAAGGATGGAAGTGCATGTGGCTGCAATGTAGCCTTCTAGAAATCAGGTTTTTAGGCCCCCTTGCAACTCCCTAACTGAATTCAAGCCTTTCAAATTCGTCCATCCTCATGCCTCCATGCTTGCACTATCCAATCTTGGCCCAAAAATGCTCTAGAATGTTCCAAATTGCTTCTTTTTGCATACTTTGACACTAAAACCTGAAATTGCACGAAAATAACTTTAAACACTATAATAACTAAAGAAACACAACGTAAATGCACGAAAACAAGCAAACTAAGGCGCATAAATATGCTCCTATCAAATATATGATCATGGCTTCGAATTCACCTCTAGCTAAAATGAAAATTAGTTACACATGTTCATCGTAACTGAAAAGAAATCTAAAATAAACATTGAAACTTAAAATAAAGAGAGAAAAAACTCTAAAAACTCTAGAAACTTTAATGGATGAAAGGATTAGGCGTTTTTAGTGTTGGAATGTGATTATGATTCTTCATTGCAACTGAAGATAAGATATGATAAGATAGGATAAAATAATGTTTCAGTCCAACTAGGATTCTTCTTTCCTGTGCAATTCCTTGTCTTCCTAGCCTCAACTATAATTTGTCCAGAATTTAGCACACGTTTAACACCCAAAACACCAAAAATGTCCAACCCATATGCTATCCACGCACGCTACCCAGTCCAAGTTTAAAACTGCTCCAAATTGCTCGATTTGATCTCTAATCGAATCCCATCAGTGACTAATCTAACATCTAGTCTAACAAAATCAATCATTTGTTAAAAAAAAAAAAAACTCTAATTGTCAACTTTACCAAGTGGACCTACAATAAAACGAAAATAACTTAAATTACTATAATAAATAAAAATTAATCAAGTAAATGTATAGAAATAAAATAACATAAAAATGTTTGTATCAATTAAGAATTTTCTAAAATTCAATTTTAGTAGTAGAATAACGACGTGTTTTGAGGGCAATCCTCACATGATTTACAGGTGGCCTTAGATGATAGGATGGGAGGCTATCAATTTCTCTGAAGAATCTGCCCTTGCGGAATGTGTAATTGTGTACCACTCAAAACTTTCTGTTGCAGCCGCGCGCGTTATCGTTATGTTCAATTTTTATGCGGCTCCAGTATTTCTCATGTTTGTTTTTATTGACTTCTTACTTTTTATGGGTCCACAATACAAAATCTACATTTGCTACCACAAACGAAAGAACAAACGACATTGTAGAAAACAACGAAATGGATGGTTGTGTTTCATACAAATAACAATGGCGATGAGATTAAATTTGCAGATAAAATTTATAAAATAAATTATATGTTACAGATAAAAAGTAAGTACGTTTATCAATGCTTGAGTAATAATTCAATCGTCAATCTCTATTTCATTTAATTTATAAAATTTTGACTACAAATTTAATTTTTATAGCATTACTCGTCATCATCTGTTCTGCATAGAAGTATATTTCAAACAAAAAAGTGACACGGGTAAAATTCCTGACCACTCAACACAAGAGAAGGGAATGGAGGAGGTATGAATTTTATTGTACGGGCATTTAAAACGCCACAAATTTCATTTTTCTATCTTGTTGTAATTCATGGTCTGAGTCTGAGACTTGCAGCAAACCGAGAGAGACTCTACCCACCAAAACCAACCATGGAATTGAGCTCTAAGCTCCACCGCCTTCACCTCCGCTCCGCCTTCATCAGCGGCTCATCCCCTTTCGACGCTCGCGCCACAGTTCTCCCTCCCCGGCTCCGCTCCCTTTCTAATCGGATAGCTTCTCAATCACTTAGAGATAGCAACAACACTAACTCCATCAAAACCACTAGTTATCTACAGAAATCCACAACCCCAATTCCTAAATTTGCAACCCCCTTATCGGCGGTGGCTCTTGAAACATCCGTCGCCGAAACCACCGCCAGTGACGACGATGTCGAGTCTTTGTTCTCGGATAATTCCAAGAACGAATCTCAGAACAGACGTGGTAAAAGGAATTCGAATAATTCCGGGGCTTCCAGTATTTCTTCTGGTGTGAAGCTCGAAAATGTCCGAAAGAGCTACAAGGGCGTCACTGTGTTGAAAGATGTCACTTGGGAAGTCAAAAGGGGAGATAAGGTTGGATTGGTGGGTGTAAATGGAGCAGGAAAAACTACCCAAATGAGAATTATCGCCGGTTTAGAAGAACCCGATTCCGGCAATGTCATAAAGGCGAAACCCAACATGAAGATCGCGTTTTTGAGCCAGGAATTCGAGGTTTCGTTGAGTAGGACGGTCAAGGAGGAGTTTATGAGTGCGTTTAAAGAGGAAATGGAAGTGGCTGGGAAGTTGGAGAAGGTGCAAAAGGCGTTGGAGAGTTCCGTTAACGATTTGGAGTTGATGGGAAGGCTTTTGGATGAGTTCGATAAGCTTCAGAATCGGGCGCAGGCGGCTGACTTGGATATGGTGGATTCAAAGATTAATAAGCTGATGCCGGAACTCGGTTTTGCTCCAGAGGATACTGATAGATTGGTGGCATCCTTTAGCAGTGGTTGGCAGATGAGGATGTCGCTTGGGAAGATTTTACTTCAGGTATATTAACATATATCCTACCAATATCATACATTTTGTTTTAGGTTATCTCTGTTGGCGATGTAGAAAACTGAATTATAACATTTATTATTGCTTGACGTATGCAACAATGTTTTATTACCGCAAATGGTGCGATGAAAAATTGTATGCAGGGAAAATTGCGAACTTGAATTTCTGTATAGGGAGATGCTGTCCCCAACAAATATTTGTTTCATACAACATTTAGCATTTGTTTTTCACAGAACATTTGTTTTCTGCCCATAGGCGTATCACGTTTAATGTATCTTAGAATATGAATTGGTTTAGTTGTTGTTCATGGCGCGATGTTTTTTTATCTTCAGGATCCAGATTTACTACTCTTGGATGAGCCTACAAATCACCTTGACCTTGACACAATTGAGTGGCTCGAGGATTATCTGAATCGGCAAGATGTGCCAATGGTTATAATATCTCATGACAGAGCATTTCTAGATCAGTTATGTACAAAAATAGTGGAAACAGATATGGGTGTCTCCAGAACATATGAGGGAAATTACTCTCAGTATATTCTGGCAAAGGCGGCATGGATTGAAACCCAAAATGCTGCTTGGGAGAAGCAACAGAAGGAAATCGAGCAGACAAGAGACTTGATACACAGGCTGGGAGCTGGAGCTAATTCTGGCCGTGCTTCTTCTGCTGAAAAGGTAAACTGAGGTTTACTGGACTAGAAATTTGTGCCGTGCAATTCTAAAAGGAACTAAATAAACCCATCTAACCTGAACAATCAGTTACGGTTGGAATTTGTTGCTTCATTTTCTCAATTTAACAAAATGCAACTTAATTGCTTTAAACTTTTTCTTTTCAGTCACGAAAATTTATTAGTGGTGAGAAATATTCTTTCCAAAAACAAATCGTTTCACTGACTTTTTTTTCAGTAGGCTTGTAGTCTGCCTCATTCAATGGTTCTTGCCAAACTGCACTTATGCGTTTTTGAGCAAAACAAACTAAATGTTGCATAAATTCTTGTAATTTAAATTTCTATACCTATTAATGCTTGTTATGATACTCAATAGAAATGTAAAACAGATATGATTGGTGGATATATCTGTTTGATGATTATAATTATTTTATTTTGTCATTCTATGTATTGCTCTTTATGGTGGTATTTAATCACATCACTTCCCACTTATCTTACATTCTTTTATTTCTCAAAAAACAGAAGCTGGAGAAACTTCAGGAAGACGATCTAGTTGAAAGGCCGTTCCAGAGGAAACAAATGAAGATCAGGTTTCCTGAGCGGGGACGAAGTGGAAGATTTGTTGCAACGATTAAGAATCTGGAATTTGGCTTTGGGGATAAGGTGGGTGGACATACGTTGCTAATTATAAGAAGTGCTACTTTAAACTCTTCATCTGCAAATTTTATTTTTTGTTGAAGAGAAATGAGACAAATTGTATATATTACATCAATCTGTGTTTTGTACCAGGTCCTATTTAACAGGGCAAATCTTACGATTGAAAGGGGGGAGAAAATTGCCATTATTGGCCCAAATGGATGTGGAAAGAGTTCGTTGCTGAAACTAGTAATGGGTTTACAAAAGCCAATAACAGGAGAAGTTGAGATTGGGGAGCATAATGTCCTACCGAACTATTTTGAGCAAAATCAGGTTTGTTAGTGTTTCCTTTGATTTAAGGAATACCGTGGCAATTCTAGGTTTCGTCACATAAATTTTTATTTCTGTTTCTCAGAACTTTTTTTTTCTTTTTCTGCATTTGACCTATATCCATGTCTTTTTAGGCCGAGGCACTTGATTTAAATAAGACAGTGCTTGAGACAGTAGAAGAAGCTGCAGAGGACTGGAGACTTGATGATATAAAGGGTCTCCTTGGGCGTTGTAATTTCAAATCTGATATGCTTGACAGAAAGGTTTCCCTGTTGAGTGGTGGCGAGAAGGTAAATTTAATAGGCTTGCAAATGAATTTTGTCAGTTCTTTGTGCACGTATTTTGAGCTTCCTTTATATCTTTTCCTTCCAGTGAGGTATTGACTATAATGCGTGTGAAGGTCTGAATTTGTTTTTGATTATCATTCGTTCCATGTTGAGAAGCCTACATAATACGTGGACTTACACATGTCAAGGTGAGGTGAGGTGAGGATTTTAACAGTTTGTCTTTCACTTTTGTTAGGCACGCCTTGCCTTTTGCAAGTTCATGGTAAAGCCGTCAACTCTGCTAGTTCTGGATGAACCAACAAATCACTTGGATATTCCTTCAAAAGAGATGCTTGAGGTAAGTCTCTCACATTTTTCCTTCCATTCTATGCAATGAGTATTTTGCATTACTTCGGCATCCCTTACCTATAATATGGTCCCTAATTGTTTCTTTCAGGAGGCAATAACGGAGTACAAGGGCACTGTCATCACAGTTTCTCATGACCGATACTTTATAAAGCAAATAGTTAATAGAGTAGTGGAAGTTAAAGGTTGCAAGTTGCAAAATTATGCAGGAGATTACAATGTAAGCACTTTCTTGATCCTCTATGTATTGGCTTAAAAGTGTAGTGTTTGGATTATTCTGGTTTCATTTAATAGTTTCGAAAAAAAAAATGAGCTAGATTTAAAATTATCTCATTATCTCGAGCTGACCCTTAACCAAATGATGATTCAGGAAATATTTTAAGTTTGTATAACCAACAAATTGATGACTCCCGGGTTGTAGGATGATTATAGAACATGTTATCATATGGAAACGAGGGATCCTTTCACTTAATCCCATCTTTCATTCGCAATTTCAGAAGACAGAAAAGTTAGTGCCCATAACATTAGCAGTTGTGATCACATTTGTAGAGTCTAGGGTTCATTAAAAAATTAAATCAGTTGTCCAGTTGCTTATTTGATCAGTGATTCTGACCATGAGGTTTTATGACGTGCAGTATTATCTAGAGAAGAATCTTGATGCTAGAGAAAGAGAGCTTGAGCGTGAGGCCGAGATCGAAGAAAAGGCTCCTAAAGTGAAGGCAAAGTCAAAGATGTCTAAGGTAAGCATCCTTCCATTATGAAACCTGAGAAATTGAAGTGTTTTAGTGCAGCAATCTGAGCCGTCGCTTAATACACTCGTTTTCCACTACAGGCTGAGAAGGAAGCTCGGAAGAAGCAAAAGATGCAGGCATTTCAGCAAGCAAAGGCCAAATCTAAAGGAACAAAGAATGCCAAGAGATGGAATTAAGTGAAAGCTCGGAGCATCATCGAACATTGTTCATTATTGTCAAGCTAATTTTAGAGATGAAGCGGGCTTTCGCAGTGTATGTATATAACAGTAAACATTATTATTAATAGGATTACGTTTACAGGTTTGTTTCGAAAGAATTACGGTGCAACAGAAATCCTTGTACACGAAGCTCGAGCGCTATGTTCAGTAATGGCAAAAAGATGCAATTACGGTGCAACAGAAATCCCCCCGTTCCTTATTTTAGGACTCAAGAATACAATACTTACCTAGTGAAAGTGGAAGGATAGAACAAAGATTGTACCCTCAACAGAAGCAATAACCTTCAACTTGAACAAAAAAAGGAATTTCTCATTCATTTCTACGTGTAATGTAGTGAACAGTCTTATCCAAGCCAGTTCTCTCTATCAAACGAGGCTTGCCTATATTGGAATTGGATTGGGCAATAATTAGCAAACAGGAGCTACACCAAATAAGAAAAAAAGAAGAAGAAATGTAAATATTAAATTGAGGGATCACAAAAGTTAGAGAAGGAAAAGAAACACAAAGATCCTTGGGGGAAACATTTTTTGGCAGAGGAAATGAAAACTAGTTAGGTTAGAGAGTCAAACTGATAACGTGTTATAAATAGGCAAAAGTAAGAGAGAGATAACCTTTGCTAAAAATCGAAGTGGAATAATATTACATTGTATATTTTCGTAACTGTATCAGACAATGGATGTAGGTAAAGAGTGGGGAGTGAGATTGGTATTATTATCTTCACTTTTGATCTTCTTGTTGTATTGAGAATATAAACATACCTCTATATATAAGGGTTTTGATCTTTACATGCATAATGAAAACTTTTCACCTCCCTTAAACATTTTTCATCCAAAACTTTCAATGGTTGTCATCAAAATTTATTTTGATTTGCTTCCTCGTACAATCATATATTTCACAACATTTTCAACAATTTTAATTAAAACATTGCTGTAAAATCGAAAAGATGAAAGGAGATGGTGATATCTCTACTAATTAATAAAACACTCATTGTCAGCTAAAACCCTATGAAATTACCAGATTAACCCTCTAATTAAAACAGAACATAAATAAGAAATATGGGGCATAAATGTAATTTCACATAATCAAATTTTACTGTTTTTTTTTCAAAACCTTACATACATATAATCCTAACATATCTTTAATTAATTAAAAAAAAAAAACTTCCCACTCCCACATTCTCTATCACTCTCTTCCTCTCTCCTTCTATTTCAGAAACAAAAATAAAAATTTTCTCACACACTTTGTGTGCCCATATGCTAGTACAAAGTAATCAAACGAAAAGTTGGGGTGTTGCTAAATTAAACTAGGGCGGGGATTGGGCGGGCCGTATCAGTGTAGGTAAATTATAGCCCATCCAGATAGTCCGCAGCGCAGCCTCTTTCACTCCTCATCGGGCATCAACCATTGTCGCCGCCGGTGTCCTCTGGTAATGTAACTACTTGTTCGTTTAATTCTTCTTCGTTTAATTCTTCAATTATGCGAATCAGAGACTTTTTGCTCTTAAAAACAAAGGGTAGTGTGCCGAAACTTGGACAAATTCATTTTACCCAACAAGGTTATTGTCAGGACAGCACTAAATAAATTCACAAAAATTCCAAGGATAAATGGAGTGTTACGAAGCATATGACATTCTTTTGTTTGTGCTTTGCTTCTCAAACAAATTGTTTTAAGTTGTACTTGAGAACCTCAAATCGATTGCTTTTTCGTTTATATTGGTCATATATAGAATCATCTTCCCGACTTATTGATTTTACTTACTTTGTTTATTTAGATGTATGTGTTGGAATTTGTGTTTTCAGCTCTTTGCTTAATTTGTGTTACCTACAATGACTAATGATCATGGCCGGCCGCTGTTTTATTTCTTGTAGCTCGGGTGATGGCTGAAGTCCTACTAGGCATGCCGGGACCCTGGGCTGATGATTTTCGTGAAACGTCTGATCATTATACTACAAAGATTGGCGGATTACCTGTGAGGAACTGCTGCTCATCTTCTCATGTTTTCTTCCAGTATATGAGTGTTGAGTTTTTGATCCCCTTTTATTTTCTTTGTAACAGGACTGGCCTCTCCCTGAGGAGCCCGTCACGCCTGATCTGCTTAAGTGCAGTGCATGTCGAAGTAGATTAAGTCTTGTTGCACAGGTTTTACTTTGGAAACTAATCAATTTACGTTTTATGACATATCTTTTGAAAAGATACGGGCCGTGATTTTTAATTGTTTATTTTCCAGGTTTATGCCCCAATTTCCAGTAAAATCGTACAGATTGAAGAGCGTGTCATTTTTATTTTTGGTTGTCTAATGCCAAAATGTGGGAGCACTCCTCTTAGGTCATGTTAAAGCATCTGAGTTGATATTAACTGCAATATATAGTAGTGTTGGTGCAAGCGTTGTTGTTTTTACTTATGATATATCTTATATCATGCAGCTGGCGAGCGCTGCGTGTTCAAAAGCTACACAATGAGGAGGAGGAACCAATTACCTCTTCTCAGGAAGCGGTCCCTTCAACTTCATCAGTACCGGTTTCAAACGCCAGCTGGTGGGAGGATTTGGACGATGAAAATGATGAAGATATAAATCTAGAAGAGTTGGGTAAAGCATTTAATGATGCTGCGAGATTAGCTTCTACTGCCAAGAAACCACATAGAAATGATCACAGTAAGACTTCTACAAAGCCATCTTCTTCAAGTCAGTTGGAAAAAGTGGCAGACGTTGACACACCTGGTATGGATGTCTTTTAGAAGAATAAATCTCAGCTTAGCTTCCCCTTACTTGGTTTCCAAGCTTTTATAATTGTATGTGTTTTTTGGCCACCGTTTCATGAGCCTTCATGAGCTTCGTCTCCTTTGTACATGTACTGTACTATGGCTGTTGCATTTTTCTCTGTGGCTAAAATATGCCACTTCGTTGTTGTTTTGTTCAGACTCTTTTTGGTGGTTAAGTGTGAAAGGTACCATAAAAAAAAAAACACTGCACAAAGTGGATGGTTGGCTACAAATATAATGATGTGGGAGAACGAAACATGTCATTAAATAATTGTGAGATGAATAAGTTCTTTTCTTTTTAAGGGACGAAGTAACCAAAATTAGCTTGCCTATAAATTATTGTAGTTTCTATCCCACTTTGACTGCAACATAAGGGTAAAAATCATTTCTTCATACATAAGGGTAAAAACCATTTATTCATATAAACTTCTGCTTAATTTGAAAAACCAAGTTTATGTGTGTGTACAACGTGATTCACTTATTTACATATTTATTGTTTGTTGTAAATTGTTATTTCTTTTTCTTAACTGATTCAAATTCTTCCATTCAATGACATTCTTTTTCAGTAAAATCTATGTGATGGGTTGCCATTTCAGTGTTGTTTTAGGTTTTTTCTGACGTGTAACTTGTTTAATGTGCTTGTGCAGTGGTGCCTTGTTTTTATGTATACACTCAAAAAGAGTCATCCTCAAAGGATCTTACTTCTTTATGTTCAAACTACTCGTCATTTTCCATTGCAAAAGAAGGAAATGATATTGAGGATCACGGACAAGATGAAACGTGGGCAGAGGAAGCTTATGAATATGATAAAGCTTTGACAGCTGACAGGACATACCTTAAGTTCAAGAAACGGTTGGATGCACACCCAGAACAATGTTTCAGGTATTGAATTAATGAAACTTAGGATGTTCAAGTAGATGGAAATTAGGATGTGAGTAGTTAGTTGCACTTCATTTGCATTTGAAGCTTGTTATCAAAATTAGTTAAAATTTGTGGAGACTCCTACAATGCGTTTGGTGGTCAATACCAATGCGAGGCTCACTATGATGCAGAAGCACATGAAAATCACTCGGGTTTATTTAACATAATATTGCAGAGCAACACACATATATCAACTCCACCAATTTATTTATTTAATTTTTGTGGGGAAGGGGGAAAACTAGGAAAGAGTGCCGCTTACTCCAACTCCTTGGGGAAAAGTTGTTTCGTTTGAAAAGCTATATATGACCATGCCACACACCGTCACCCATGGCCATGTGAGCATGCCACACTCCATCCCTGATGGTATTTCCATCTGTGGTGTTGCAACGATGTGAACCAATGTCTGGCTACACACTATGCTGAGATGGCTGTATGATATGAAGAGCCCACTCTTTCATATATTGGTAACGTTCCCTTGAAAATCCCATCTTCGCATGCTTAGTCGTGAATTTCTTCAACGTCTATTTGTTGCAACTCATTACTAATCTCATATAGGTCTTGAAAGGCTATGGCTCTATGATATGGTCAATTAGTCATATGATCTTTTCCCGAAATAATTTCATGTAATTGCATATATCAGATGACCAATTTACCATAATTTTTTCATCTCTCTCTCTGATTTGAACCATAAGGATGAAGTGTCTTGTAGACGAAAGCATATGAGTTGTATCTCTAATTTTCCCTTTTTAAAATCTTTTCTTTTGGGGCTAACCAATGAGGAGTTACTTACTAGCGTACCTGGACATAATTTTGTTTCAATTTCCATGTGATAATGTGTGATTTCAAAACCTTGCGACCACATGTGATTAGAGGTTTTTCCTTTTTCACTTCCTCTTTGGAAAGTAATGCTTGTTAAGCTTATATTCGACCTTAAATTAGAAACTGAGTGTGAAGTTGAAGGGAAGCTTGTCTGAGGCTTTGGCATCTTTCATGTCTTTCGAAATTGGCCTAGCAATTATCACTGTTAGACTTGGAACTGAGGAATGATATCTATTTTTCAACTCCGCTTTGTCATTTCTTATGATATCTTGTGTACTCAGATATTCATATGGTGGAAAGCCACTCCTGGCTACATCAGCTGAAGGAGATCCGGGGAGATGTAGTCTATGTGGTGGATCAAGGAAGTACGAGATGCAACTAATGCCCCCATTATTATATTTTCTACAAGAAGCAGCTGATGATTGTCAGAGGCAGTCACTGGAGAACTGGAACTGGATGACACTTATGGTATACACTTGTTCCAAGGTAAGTCAAGTATTTGGTATTTGGTCTCTTATTACGTAGGTGCCCCTTAGTTTTATGCAGAAACAATTTGATATTTTGCAGAGCTGCTGTCAACATGGTCAAGGAACGTCCAAGCATGGGAACTGGCTTGTGATAGAGGAAGCTGTTGTGGTACAAGTCGAGAAATCTTTTAATGGGCTAGCTGAACATGGTTATTTGTCATGAATCGGTGCAGTCGATGTAGCCTCTTCATGGCTATTATACATACATATAAGGGAATATTAAAGGCGTTGTCTCTTGGTTATTGATGGTTGCTGCTATGTGGCACTGACACGGAAGAGCTCTTGTTCTGGACCTTCTGGTAAAGCTTGAAGAATTTCAAATTCGTCCCTGGTTATGCTTAAGGAAGTCTTATTGGCCATTCGAAACAGGCTACCGAGACTGGTGAGATGTGATGTATACATGGTTTGCTTGCTAGAGAACAATTAAGTTTTCCCGTTTCTGAATGTATGATGCATTAGGTTGATATTTTAGTATTTGCCACAATTTTTCTGCTGAGAGAATGCAAATACTTACTAGTAAAATCTTGCCACCCGCACACGGTGTTTCAATTGCCTATAGGATTTGTGTACAAATGGAATATGATCCTATAGCTTATATACTTGGAGAGTCCATGTGACAGGATTCGGGTTCGATGTTCTAAACACCCAACTCGGTTTCACTTGAAGTGAGGCCGTAAGATGGGTAGGCAGGTTGGCAAGGATAATTCATCAATTTAAGTTGCGCGACAGACATGTGACATACTATTTAAGTCTCGTGACTGACATGTGACATGCTTTAGAGTGGACTGACAAATTCTAATGGGTTTAAGGAAACTTTTAAAAAAAAAAAATAGTCGATGGAGTCAACATTTGGGGGTAAAATGGCAATTAGATTCACAATTTATATGTAATATTAAGGGCTTATAAGCGAAAAGCATATACATTGGTTAGACAACTTGGCTATGCCCGGGTTCTTTTGTTCTATATGATTAGACAGAAGAAGCTGACTAATTGGACCGATCAATTAACCGAATTTTAAAACTACATTGCATTCAAACCACATTGGGATGGCATTAAGCCTTTGTGACAAAACTCAGAATACTTTAGAACAAATCACTCAAAGGCATCGTCACCCACGAATACTAGTCATAATATTCATTCAACTACATCCATGTAAGATCCACACACAAGGTTTGAAGTTGGTGGCTGTCCAAAGACAGCTTGCTTGGCAGTCAAGTTCCGAATATTACAAAATACGCTACCAAAAGAAGTTCGGAGTTGCATTGCCATAAATACAGCACCTTTCATAGTCATATGGAACAGAAGTAGCGACAGACACTACTCAAACTTCTTGATTAGCGCCAGGTCATTCAACATTTTATCAATCGCATCATCGTCATGAACCCGTCCTTTTGCCTGCATAAGAGAGGCTCCGTTAATAGATACGAATTAGAGTCAAATAAACCTTAGGCATGACCTACAGACTTCAGAAGGAAATCAATGAGATTTCTTTTTCTGTACTTGAATTAAGTTTTGTTCATTGGAAATTAGCTGACATTAAACTTGCTCACTCCAACTCCAACGGCAACTCAACTGAAGAACCTACATCTTGAATGTTACCTGCTAAAGAACCTTCTCACCCATCATCTGATTCTATCCCATACGGTCAGTTTTTTATTTTATGGCAAACACTACTACGGATTATTCATTGTTTAAGATTTGATTTTCCAGAAATGAAGACTCGTATAATTTTCAAAATTTTCTGAGAAACAATGTACCATTCATACGAAGCATTACGTATATCCATATTGACAAATTCATAAAGACCACTCGCAAAGGTTGGATGAGTGGGATATACCTTTATAGATGGAACCATAGCAATAGCTTCCTCAACAGTTTCAGGGCAGAGATTGCCAAGAACACAGAGCTGCACAATAGAAATTATTCAAGCATTAAGAAGATTTGTGTTAAAAATGCAAAGAAAATTCTCTTTCCGGAGTTTATTATAGGTAATTGGAACTTACCTCGAACTCAGTCAGCTGATATCTACTAAGGATTCTGAATGTTGGTTAAGATTCACAAATTTGAAGAAAAAAGATCATGCTTTCATGTCAAAAGTAACTAACATAACAACCATTCCTATGACAATTGCCAGCATTGTCCCGATTAAGCATCTGAAAGATACAGTACACATCTGGACTCGCGGCCCATAAGGGTTACAATACTCTCATCAACAGATTACTCAGCCAAATTGCCCATCAGCTGAAATCTCATAACTCATGAGATAGTCTTTTGTAGATTGCATAATAAATGCTTCGTTTTCATTCAATTACAGAAGTTGACAAACGATTGAACTCCAAACTGCTATGGTTTTACTTTCTTTAACACGAGGCGCACAATGGCCAGATAACTAACACTTATTCTGCATCCTAACAAGAACCTAAGACAGGAAACCTTGCAGCCATCCGGCTGATTTGGATTCATAGGGTTGATTAGAAAATTATGCAAACTCGAGTCTCTATCACTGACTCCCAGGAACGCATCAAAGGACATAAGTGCAATGTATAAATGTAGTAGAGTTGTAGCATAACCACGAATGAACAACAAAGAAGATAAAATTTCCATCTTTTACAATTTGAAGGATACTCTCGAACTTGTTTAACAGCGTCGGGATTTTTGTAACGGCTGAAGCGCTTCACATACTGCAGTGACTTCTCAAATACTCTGAGAAAGTAAGGTAAAAAGAAACAACAGATTAAGCAAAACAGACAACATTCTTATCGGAAACCTAATATTACGCTAGATTGAAGATTAAGGATTAAAGATTAAGGAGAGTGAAAGGGGGAAACTGACTGCGAAATTTGGTTCCTGGGATCATCAGACATCTGTTGAAGCTGCTCGAACTTGTGTTCCAGAATCAAAGAAACTTCGCAGTTCATTAAGCACTTTGCCTTCAAAAACTCTGCCCACCACAAAACCAAATCCCACCATTTCTCTAATTAATCTAATCTAACGCAATACATACATACATATATAGATATATATACATAGAGAGAGAACAAGAGAGAGCGGGAGAAAGCTACCGTCTCCGATTTTAAGCTCGGCGGCGTTTTCTTCCTCTTCCCCAGACATGTTTGCGGAGTATCTAGAGAGAACACAGAGAGAGAGAGAGAGAGAGAGAGAGATTTCAACGGGGCTTAAGAAAAGCAAGGAGTTGGGTTAAGAATTTATTGAAGAGGCAGAGGCGGCGTTGGCCTGGCCATCATATTGAACAAATACTTTTCCCCATTTACTCTCAATTTTCCGCTGTGAATTCTTTCTTCTTTTTATTTTAAGCTAATTATCCATCAAAATTTTTATTTCAATGCTCTTGCTGAGGACGTAATGCTTGATTAGGCCTGACAATTCTTGACATGATTTGATAACTCGATACGATATGATACGAAATTAACAGGTGTTTGGATTAACACAATAACGAATCAAATTGTTATCGGGTAACCCGAAGCACCTGTTAAGATAATAAGTTGGTTCGGATATACACATGGCTAACACGATACACGATAAACAAAATATTAATTTAATAATTTTATAACCCTAAAAAACTACTATAATAATTATATATATATATATATATATATAAAATAAAATTTTAAAAATTGGTGATCATTGGATTAGCTTAAATATATATACCATTCAATTTCTTAAGTATTATACGTACAATATATATATATATACACACACACACACACACATATATATATATATATACCATTGAACTTGATGGGATACAAACTCTACGAAACTAATTTCAATGATTCAACTGTCAAACTTGTTTGTATATGAATACAATGAATAAACTCGATCTTCAATTTAAAATAAACTAGTGGATACCACAAAATCTTATGTTATACTTAATGAAAGTATGAATAAGCTCTTAAGTGTTAGTGAATCTATTGTTTTGATGAGATACGCATTCTACAAAACTAGTTTCAACAATCCAACCGTCAAATATGTTTGTATATACTTCGAGATTGCATACGCCAAAAATTGCAAAAACCAAACATTCATACATTAAGTAACAGAACAAAACTTTTCGACGGTTATCAACGAAAAATCACAATTTAACGGTTATTTTAACTCTGATTTGATTATTTTTTACAGTTACACTCCTTGACCATATATGAATACAATGAATGAATTCGATCTTCAATTTAAAATACTTACACTAATAGATACCACAAAATTTTATGTTATACTTAATGAAAGTATAAATAAACTCTAAATGTTAGTGAATCTATCGTTTTGATAGGATACACATTCTACGAAACTAATTTCAAAGATCCAACCGTCAAACTTGTTTGTATATGCTTCAAGATCTCATACGCTAAAAATCGCAAAAAACAAACATTCAAAGATCAAGTAACGGGACAAAACTTTTTGACAGTTATCAACGAAAAATCACGATTTAACAGTTATTTTAACTTCGATTTTGATGATTTTTTACAACTACACTCCTTGATCCTATATGAATACAACGAATGAATTCGATATTCAATTTAAAATATTTACACTAGTGGATACCACAAAATCTTATGTTATACTTAATGAAAGTACAAATAAACTCATAAGTGTTAATGAATCTATCGTTTTGATGGAATACGCATTCTACGAAACTAATTTCAACGATCCAACCGTCAAACTTGTTTGTATATGCTTCAAGATTGCATATGCCAAAAATCGTAAAAAACAAACATTCAGAGATCAAGTAATGAGATAAAACTTTTCGATGATTATCAATGAAAAATCACGATTTAACGGTTATTTTAACTTCGATTTTGATAATTTTTTATAGCTACACTCCTTGACCTTATACGAATACAATGAATGAACTCAATCTTCAATTTAAAATATTTACACTAGTGGATACCACAAAATCTTATGTTATAATTAATGAAAGTATGAATGAACTCTGAAGTGTTAGTGAATCTATTGTTTTGATGTGATACGCATTCTACGAAACTAGTTTCAACGATCGAACCGTCAAACATGTTTGTATATACTTCAAGATTGCATACGCCAAAAATTGCAAAAAACAAACATTCAGAGATTAAGTAATGGGACAAAACTTTTCGACGATTATAAACGAAAAATCACGATTTAACGGATATTGTAACTCCGATTTTGATAATTTTTTTACAGCTACACTCCTGGACCCTATATGAATACAATGAATGAACTCGATCTTCAATTTAAAATATTTACACTAGTGGATACCACAAAATCTTATGTTATACTTAATGAAAGTATGAATAAATTCTTAAGTGGTAGTAAATCTATTGCTTTGATGAGATACGCATTTTACGAAACTAGTTTCAACGATCCAACCATAAAAAATGTTTGTATATACTTTGAGATTGCATACGCCAAAAATTGCAAAAAACAAACATTCAGAGATCAAGTAACAAGATAAAACATTTCAATGGTTATCAAGGAAAAATCACGATTTAACAGTTATTTTAACTCCGATTTTGATGATTTTTTACAGCTACACT